TATATATATATATATATATATGTATATATATGCATACATAATATGCATGCCAACATTTGTATCCTGAAATTTTATGACTTGATGAAACCTCATGTCTTATATTACGTATTACTTCATACGCACCAAACAAAAATGAATATATCAAATGTATTGATAGTTCTTATAAACTCCCAATAGGACATTAACATAATAAAAACACCACTCTGCCACATTGTTAAATTCTAATATAAATTGCCCAGTCAATTAATAACCTATTTATAAGCAAATATCATTGTTTAAAAAATGTTTAAGGCATGCATCTTGAGGCACGCCTTGAATCGAGGCGCTCCTGCACCTCGAGACTTGAGCCCACTAATAGTGATGAGACATACATCTCAAGGCGCACAACACAACACATCTAGTTGTCACATCAGACTCTTTTTACAAACTTCATTTCTTAGTCACTTGGTTGTTCACAATAAAAAAAAACACCAACATAGAAAAATATTTTTTTTTTCCAACAAGCGATGAAGTTTAACAATTTTTATAGATAGGTTTAACACATTGAACAACATTCAATAGGAACAAATAGAACATGAGAATTTATAAATCTGACCCTAAAGAGTTGGCATAAGGCCAATGATAATTGAGAAGATGAAGGAAATAAGTTTAATGGCACTGCTCCATATGAAGGGAATTCCAAACAACACTAATGGTATAGTTGAATCATGGGTGGACTTTAAGCAAGGAGTAGCGGGGGTTGTACTCCCAATAACTAGTAATGCATTAATATAATGCTATTAATATTTTATAAGTTTAAAGTGCTTCTACTACCCAGCTGCAGTTTCTAGCATCTTTTGAATACAATGGGGAGCCAATAATGATGTTGTCATTATTTATGACAAAAGTACTTGACAGATTTTCCAAATCATCATTTTGAACTCAATAGAAAAAATTATGCAGCATTCAACTAGCAAGTATTGAGGAGGAATGTAAAGGGAGCGGATTGGAGAAAAAGGATGTCGCCATGGGTTGAGATCAAGTTAAGAACTTTTGAAACACAAGTTTTTACAAAGGCTAGTTAGTTGGTCAACTTCCTAATTCTATGGTGGACAAGATGAGAAGAGTGGGAACAAAACAAAGAAAACTATGACATAGAGAATTGTTCAGTCAAGTAATTGAGGACCAATTACTGATGGGTGATGATATTCAATTAAAGAGTGCATTTCAATTTATTTATTGAAATGTACAAATCAAAATTTTCCATGGCTTTGTTTGATTGAGTGTATTAAGAGAATACAATATTTCAAATACATAAGTTTTATATTTTCGACTATTGGCTAGTAAAAAATAAATACAAAGTCGAAAAAAAAATAGGAGAGCTTGTACAACAATTAAAGGAAATCATAAAGTATGATAATAATCCTTTGGTGTATTATTTTTAAACCAATCGTTGGTTTCACAGTCATTTCGGCAATGATTGAACAACCATTCACTATCATGCATAATACCATTCTAGGGCTTCTATAAGGTATTAGAAAGGAGATTTAGAGGGAAGGTGGTTGTGGAGTGTCAAGGGAATGATAACATGCGAATTTGATGGCATTTGAATGAGGATGGGAGTCTATCGGACGCTGTCCTGGCTGAAAACAACAGACAAGCGGTGAAACAGTGAAGTGCAGATGGCAAGAAGGATCCAACACTTGTTCATGAGCAACAATTGCAAAATAAAATGATATAACACTCTGAAAAGCATAAAACAAAGAACAACATTTCCAAGCACAGTACACAAGTCCCCCTAGACCAGGTTCCACATAAGATATATCTACTAATAATTAGACTAAACCCTGATTTAAAGAAAAGGGAAAGAAAATAAGGCATAAAAGGTCAAAAAAATCATCCAAATTTGATAACAGAACGGAAGAACCTGTAAGATATCCTTCACAGGGCGGGACTCACGCCCGACCCCATCCCGCGATTGCAGGAACAGCTCCGCAAGAGTGATTCCACAATTGTGGAATCACACAAGTTGTGGGATACGAGAGAAGCTCTGCATCAATGAAGATGGTAAAGACTAGTTTGTGGAACCATATGGAAGAGTATCATGAAAGATTGTATGGTTACATATATAGAAAAAGATAAATTTAATAGTTTTGAGAACAAAATGATTATACAAGGCTAAAATGAAGAGTAGCCGCAATCAAATGTAAGTTCTTCCTCAGTAAATATATTTGATCATTTTATACTAAAATTTAATAATTTTATTTTAAAACTGTCGATGTCTACACCAAGCTAGAATAAAAGAAAGTTGAGAGTATTTTTAAAATCATTAACTTGTGCCCCCATTCAAAAAATATTTTGGCTTCACCCCCCGACCTTCTCCCCGAGTGTGTCAAATTTTTATTGAGAATACTGAAAATAGATTAAAAGAAAAATCGAATTAAATGAAATGAGTTGATGCTTGAAGTTGTGGATGTTGTTGCTATAACAAGAGAAAGGAATCATCATTTATAATAGTTCAGATTTTGCATATTTTGATCACAATTAAGTTCTAGGAAAAGTTTTGAAAACAACGATCCACTGGACCATGAAATCAATGTCACACTAAGGGTCTGTTTGGGGCAGATACAGCTTGTTAATAAGTTGTTGCACAACAGTTGTGGCAGAGAGTTGCTTTGCAGCAATTACTATGCATAAGTCAGTTGTTTCTAGATAAATGACTACTCTGTCCTCCTATCGTAATGTTGCTTGAAACAGAACTATTCATGCCAGTGCATTCCAAACTTGAAAGCAAATATCAAGTGCAGAACATTACAAAATAAAAATAGACATCTCACTAAACAATGAGTAACTACCGCAAAAAGAAAACCACAAAAATCTCGGGCACATACATATTTTCAAAATAAAAAATAAGAACATAGTTAAGGTAAAGATTACCCAACACAAAGAGGAACCACCGCACAGAGAAACCAACACTCATATGAACTTCAATCAAAAATTACCGCACGAAGAAGAATCGCAAGAGAGAGAGAGGGGGGATTTAAGCCAAATATCGCGAGAGAAGCAGCCCAGCGAGGATCGCGAGAGAGGAGAGGGCGTTAGGGCAAGACACACGAGCGAAAGGATCACGGGAGAGGAGAGGGGCAGCCTGTCACATGTATACGATGGCCGCGGGGTCGAACCCGCTACCGCATATCCTTCGGCAGTCGTGCCGGAGAATCCAAACGAGACGGATTCGTGTTCAATGGCCGTGATGCCCCCCTAAATGTTGGCCCAAACGGGCTGTGAAAGAGAGATCGTCATTTTGATATGCTTGATAACAGCAAAAATAAATGCCACTCGACTATCCATCACTAAATCTTCATCATTTAGTAGATTATGAAAAATAGTAACATAATGAGTTATTTCAGTGGTGGCCACTGGTTGCTAGTAGTAGCATCATTCACTAACACGCAAAATTTCTCACAAACAACCAAGAATGGTAACAAACTGAGTTATTTCGAAGGTGACAGAACACAAAATATGTATCTGCATTTAATTCAAAATAACAATCAACGGGTACAGGAAAGTAAAACATACCCATAGTCCCCAATGCTGCTTCATTCCTAAACCCGTGATCAAACTGACTCCTCCCAAGATCAGCCCATGAGCTGACACGGGACTCTGGGACCTTCTCCAACCCGCGTGTATCTTTCTTCTTGAAACTGCTGCTCCCAACTCCAAAAAGAGCAAAGGAAGATGACATCGCGGATGCCGATGATGAAGAGGTGGAGCAGCTCCCCTCCCTACCAAGATTGCTACTCCCAATTCCAGAGATCCTGCTCTCCCGGAACGTCTCCTGCGGCAATGGCCCGGATCTCGTCTTGATGCGATTCAACGACAGCAAGGACCCCGAAGCCGCCCCTCCCTCCTTTATCGCAGCAGCTTTCCAAACCTTAGCCGGGGCCGAAGCAGCCGCCGCGGGCGGCGGGAGTTTGGCTAGCCGCCCCTCCCTCCTTTATCGCAGCAGCTTTCCAAACCTTAGCCGGGGCCGAAGCAGCCGCCGCGGGCGGCGAGGGTTTGGCTGTCTCTTTCCCCTTCCGATCCCTCTCCTTCTCCTTCTCCTTCTCCTTCTCCTTCTCCTTCTCCTTCTTCTTCTGCTGGATCTTCGTCGCCACTTCGGGAGATGATCGAGATTTCTTCTTCTCGGATCTGGAAGGGGACGCGGATGCCGGCGTGCCCGGCGTGCCGGGGCTGCTCGAACCCCTATCTGGACTGGAAGACCCCGAGGGTTTCTTTGACGAGAAGAATCTCCCTTTGAACACCATATCGCCTCTCCTCTCTCTCTCTCTCTCTCTCCCTCCCCCCCACCACTTCGCTCTCCGGTTCTTTCTGCTTCCTCCGCTTCAGTTACTCTGCGTTGTCTGAAGTGGTTCCCCGTCTAGACTGAGCAAGGAAGAAGCTACGGAGACTGCGGAGAGAATGCCAATTCAAAGCACACGAAATATAATCCGGATGATTAATGGCCTTTGGATTTGATTTACACGAATCATAAAGTTATTCTGAAGGCGAGGGTTTCTTTGACCACGGAGCGGCGTGACGGAACGTTTTTAGCATTTGAACGACTGATTGACTTTTAAAGCCCTAATTCGAATTTATTTTTGCACGGCAGCATTCGAGATTTTTATTTATTTATAAGTGTGCGATATTTATTAATATTTAGATAGATTATTTGAGGTCGGCTTGTCAATTAGACGCTCCCTGCAACCCTTCCCATGCTTTAAAACAAAGGTAGGGTGGAAAAATGTAATTTTTTTTTCTTTTTATGCGAAATTGGGGCCATGTGTAATTTTATTATAAAATAAATATAACAGTAAATTAGGAGTACGGCCGGAAAAGAATACAAGGAGCACAAATGCCCTCTAGTGGGTGAGAAAATATTATTCAGGACTCCGCAGGATAGTTGTCTGAGGAGTGCAATTAACTGAAGCCACTTAGAATCTCGGGCCCACATATGAAAATATGGAAAATAAATAAAACTTCGCGCGCGACCCGGCCCGAAACACAGCCCGATTAATTTCTCGCCGCTTTCATAAGATTATTTCTCATCTGATGGAGTTGTTATATGAAGAAATATTTCGCAGCTCATGACGCATGCAACTAGAGTTTTTGGAAGAAATATTTCTTCGGATTTGTGTTGAATTTCGATGGACTGCTTCATTATACATCTGTTCTAAATTTTATTATGCTTACATAAGTTATTAACAAATATAAGTTATGAAATCTAAATAAATTGTTTTTGTTCTATAACACACTAATAACAAATTAATAATTCACTAATAATGCACTAATAACACATAATAACACATAAAAACACACTAATAACACATAATAACACTAATGGATAAGTTGTGCAACTGAGTTGTAGGTGTTGGAATGTGAGTCATCAAACTTAATTCCTATATCAAAGTGTTCAAAATTCATGTGAAAGCTAGTCACTAATAGATTGGCATATCCCTAAAAAGGTGAAAACTGATTTACCTGAGAGTTTGCCATTTTGAATTGTCGAAATATTTTTTTTATTTTAGTTTTGAATTTTTTTATTTCAAAAAATAACTAACTTAAAAAGAAAATCAAAATAAGCATACAAATAACAAAATTTTCAAACATAAGCCTTTAAACATTCTAACTAAATTTTTCCTAATGTTAGAAAATTTTAACAATTATATCCAACAATAGCGCAAAAAACTTGATGGTTGAAAACTTACTGCATAGTAAGTCGGTCAATCACAAAAATATATGTGTCAAGAATATGTGCTTTCTGAACCGGCGTATCAATCTCACGAGGATAGTGCTAAAATATTTCTAACAAACGAAGTTCTAGTTTATTAAAATGTTAAATCTAGTTTAAAATGGTCAAATTCAAGAGCTAACCATTATAAATGTGTAACAAACTGAAATGTTGAGTTTTTCAGATATGTAAGATAAATACTTCTGCGACACATGTCAGGTGGTTTCTTGAAGTTTTTTTATGGAACCCGCGCTCTAGTTAATTACTAGGGAAACATGTTTTCTTCTTAAGTCTATGCCTAGGTCAGAAAAAAAAAAAAACAAACCCATAAAATTATGTTTCGCTTAACTCTATGATATTTGTCAATATTCTTTAGATCCACTATATAGGATGCAATATCCTAATGAAATATGCCTATTATATCATGTTATTGTGGCAACTTACTCATTCCACTACGCAACGGGCAAAAATCATAGTTCACAAGAGATTTTTTACATTCTTTTCATGCCCGATAAAAAGTAGATTACGATCAGAAAGTTAACAGATCAACATGAGAATTTTATGCATCAAAGTCGAGAGAAACAAAAACTTTATAGAATGAAAACCATGAGAAAACAACAAGGCTTACATTTCAGGAGTATGAAAGTAGGGCTGTTAATTTGGCTCGTTGTTCGTGAACAGCTCGTGTTCGGCTCGTTAAGCAGCTCGTGTTCGGCTCGTTAGGCTTAACGAACGAGCCGAACACG